GAAGCCCAGCTCTGCGCCAGAGGGCGGGGCTCTCCTTACTCCCTGTAACAGATCCAAAGGCCAGTGAAGTCTCCTTAAATCAAGCACAGAACTCGAATGGCCCACGGCCCCGGCCCCCAGGCCGCAGGTCCCAGGGTTGACATTTTATCAGGAGCAGTTGGAAGCAGACAGGCAAGGCCTCCCCCAATGCACACAGGCCTGTAGGTGATGGATCCTGAACACGCCAAACGGTGCTCTTTGGAGATCTGAGCGGATTTCCCGGGAAAGGGGGTCCTTTAGACGAGGGTCTCCTTCTGCAGACCTTGAGTGGGGTTCTGCTCCTGGAACTGGGGGCATGTGCGGGAAGGGCCTGGCTCACGGACCCTGGGGGAGGGCTGAATGGATGTGGCTGTCAGCTTCCCACTGGCCTGGCCAGGAGCACACGGGTTCCCAGGGGATAGTAGTTACGGGCCAGACGCTGTCTACGCGGGGGGAGGCTGGGCTTCAGGGAGTGTCCTTGGGGGTCCAGGAAAGCCTAGAGGGCTCCTGACCGTGCACCATCACGGTGGGCCTGCCTCCCGGGAAGAGGCCCTGTCACCACCTGTGCCCTGGGCTCTGTCTCCACCAGCCACGCCGGCAACAGCCCTGTCCCAGGACACCGCGGCCAGCGAACAAAAGCCATGCTTATCAAAGGAGTTTTTCTTTATTTTCATAATTTAGCTGAATTGACACAAAACTGAATACTGTAAAACAAGGAAAAAAACGCTGTAACGTATCAAATCTCCCAACCTCTGCCCTCGGAAGGTGTCTACACCCACTGTCAAAAGAAACAGGCGAGGGGGTGGTGGTGGGGACGCTGGCGGGCAGCGCAGAGGTGTGCTGGGCCAGGTGACCCTCCCGGGGCCTCCCTCGCTGCCCCGAGGGTGAGCCCAGGCCGCGGAGCTTGGGGCTGGCCATCTTGGGACAGCACGCTGCGCGGGCCGCCTCCTCTGTGATGACAAACCCAAACCTCGGCCAGTCCTTTTACCCCAGGACACACATACCCATAAATTTGTGGTGACTGAAGGTAAATTATACACTCGTGGACATTGAAATGGGTCTTAAATAAATGGATTTTCTCTCCTGTCTTTAGTCTATGGGTGGCTGGAACAGCTTCTATGTAGTTTTTTTTTTTTTTCCTATGTTTTGTTTAGTAGCATAGACCTAGCATAATACTCCTGTTAATTGGACTCTTAGGTAGCATACTTAAGCTGAAACTCAGGAAAATAAAGGGACCTGGCACAGGGTGGACAGGGGAAGGTAAACCGTAACTGTCCCTTATTCGTGGGGCCTGGTGACCCCGTCTTGCAGGAGGGAAGTGGGAAGTGGGGGCTCCCCCCATCCGCCGCTGTCTCCACCCTCTGACATGAAGACTGAGAAAGATAAGGGTGTCCGCTTGAGAAGACGAGGTCGGCTGCAAACTGCCCTCAAGTTGTATGAACGGGAGAGGGGTAAGAAAAAAGGAAACAAAATCCGTTGGAAGAAACGTGATCAAAGGACTGGACACTCCCACAACAGAGCCCCAGGGGGCAGGGACCACCCAACCCAAACCCAGTAAAAGGCAACGGGCCTTTCCGCTGGCACCGGCCAGCATGCCTGTGCCACCCCAGACCTGGTCCTCAGCTCGCTGCCCACAGAGTCCTGCCCCTCGGCGGTGCCGGGCGCCCCTATGTCCGGGGATGCCGGTCCCCCCCGCCCACCCCAGAGACTTCGGGAACCCCCAGCCCCGGCCCACGTTTCACGACGGCCGGGGCTACCGCATGAATTGTTAAATAGGATTTTCTACAAATATACAACATATAAAAACTGTTAAATATATAACTTTCGGCTTTGCAAAATACATTTAATGATCTCTTTCAAACAAGTGTTACTTTCGCTTTCTTTAATTTGCTTTCTGGAGCTAAACGGTGATCGGATGAGACAGCAGTCATGGGAGACCCGACATGCTCTTGGCGAATCCTGGATTATCCCACTATCAGAATGGAGCTGCAGAGAGGCGTGTTTAACTGGTTAAAACAGAAAGTGATTTTAGTACGAGGAAGTCCATCTAAGTACAGAGGAGCAGGTGTGCACAGCGAGCTGTGCTCCCGGCCAGGCGCACCCGCGGGGTCCATGCGGGTCCATCGCCGGCCCTGTGTCCTCCGGCCGCATCCTCCGGCTGCTCGGGGGCCCCGCAGCGTTCGTGGGCTGGGTGCCTCTCCAGCGTTTCTCTGCCCCCGTGCCCCCCAGTCGAACCCAGGGACTCTGATGGTAAGTACGAGTCCGCGTTAAAATAGATTTTGCTCTTTGGTCTATTGAATATACTGAAAGGATAAGAAAATAAAAGCGATTCGGACAGTCTGGGGCACAAGGAGAGGCCACTTCTGCGCCCGAGACTCAGTCCTCCCTGGGCCCGGCGCTGTCCTCCTCTCTCGGGCTGGCTGGGCTGCAGCTGCCTCCGCCTCCTTGTCTGCGGCCGGGAGGGTGGCCAGGCCAGGTTCCAGGGACGCCCGGTGGCGCAGCCCTGCTGTATGTCCCAGGACTGACTCCTCGGGGAGGCCAGACAGACTCAGCTCAGGTGGCCGAGGAAGCAGGCTGTCCTTGACAGGCTAGAGAAGCGGAGGGTGGGCGGGTGGCAGAGGGTGGGTGGCATCCACGACCGACTGAGGATTGTGGCCTCTCCAGGGAGCCAAAGTCACTCCTGGGGCCCCTGTGGGGCTGCGTTTGTCAGGAGACCTGAGGGGCAGAGAAGAGAGCCGTCAGCCTCCGCAGACACCAAGGTTCCTGTCGGGCATGGCGGGAACCCAGAGATCGCCCACGAGGCTGGCCTCGCCCGGACAGCACACTTAAAAGGCGCCAGCAGACTTCCTCGAGGACAAAAACTCGATCTTGGACCCCAGTGCTAGAGGAGAACCCTACGCTTGTCACAGAGGGCAGCCCGGGGGCACCCCCTTCCTCTGCGCTCTGGGTGGGACCCCGCCCTTGGCCATGATGGGGGCACGCACTGGAGCTCCGTCAGCGGCTAGTGTGAGCTGCATGTCCTCTGCCCTGTGCTGGCCAGGGCCTCGGGTCTGGGTGGCATCCAACCGTTTCCCTAACCATGGCTTGCACTGTGCCCTGTACACAGCAGGTACTGCATAACTGCACAGAGCAGAGTGATGGAAACACGTGTGTCTCACCCTTAAAGAGCCCCTGGGAGGCTGCAGAGCTGGGGTGTTCGTGCTGGTTGATGAGGCCCCAAGCACCCACACCCAGGACCCCAGAGTCCCAGGAGATGCGACACAACAGGCCAGCTCACAGCCGTGAAGTGATGTGAGGGTTCCAGCCTCTGCTCTGGGGCAGCGGAGATATCACCTATAAAGTGACGGAAAGCAAGCAGTGTGGTTTCCACAGAGCATCACAGCCTCAGGTGGTGGGACCCGTGACCAGCAGCCTCCCATCCCATGTCCCCGCTGGACCACTGGCTCCCTCGTCCCCTAGGGTGGCCCCAATTTGAGGCAGGGACCCCGAGGCCTGGGGTCCCACAGACAGTATCCTGGTGGCCACTGCCTTTTAGGACCCTGGACCTGGTTCAGGCGCATGGGACTGCCCTCCCCGTACCGACTCCCGGCAGGCCCAGCTCTGCAGGGAGTGGACGGTGTTCTGGGGGTCCCACACACGCCGTGGGGTTGGGACACAGCGGGTGTGATGGCCCGGGAGGGGCCTCTCCAGATGTGCTGGGGGAGACCTCCCCCAGAAAGCCCCTCGCCTCTCCCTGCAGCTGCTCGTCCGCCTCCGGGCTGGTCCCGCGTCTACCCCATCTGGCCTGAGCCCCAGCCCTTTCCCACCTGCCTGCAGCCCCGGTCACACTCCCACCAGGCCCCGCCCATGTCGCAGGCCCCTGTCCCTGTCACGCGGACCACACCATGGCCTCCTGGCTCCTCCCGAGTCCTCAGCCGCTGGGCTGTGTGCAGGCTGTCCGGCTCACACGGGCCCGCTCCCCAGGCCCCACCCTGAGGGCCTCACCCTGCCCGTCTGTCCCGTCCTGTGCTGCAATTAGCCGTCAGGGGCTGTGAGCCAGGCAAGCGCTCCTCACATCTTCACTGTCTTCCCTCGGTGGCCGGCTCTGGGGGAATGTGGACTGACTGCCTCTGGCCTGCCCTCCTCCAGGACAGACAAGGCCCCTCCCCAGGTGGCTGGGCTGCACATCCCACCCCAGCTCTGACAGCGCCTCGGCACTGCATTCAGAGGCCCTGCAAGAACCCTGCTCTCCACCTGCAGCTCCCAGACAGCAGCCAGGAGCCAGGAGGAAGGGCACCTGCCGGACACGACTCAGCTTGGCCCCCCCTCCTCCAAGCCCGTGGCCCTGGAACCCCGAGGCCGGCACAGGGTTCCAAGGAGCAGCTTTGAGAACCTCAGGTTTCCCTGAGGCCCCCGCCGGACCATGCTGTCTCCTCCCCAGCTCTGTGTGGAGCCCGCACACACGGGCGCCCTGAACGCATCAGTGGTGAGGGGGTGTTAACTGGATTTAGGTGTTTCAGGCCCAAGGACACCTAGCAGGTTGATGGCAGAGCTGGACCAGAGCTGAGGGTGTCCACGGAGGGTCAGAGCCCTCTGCCCCCAGCCCCAAGGGACTCAAGGCTGCCTGAGGCTCCAGGTTGGCAGGCGCCCACCCTCTCAGCAGGACTAGGCCCCCCACGGGACTGTGGAAGCAGGGCTGCTGTGGGACCCCAAGGCTGCGAGCACACTCCCCAAGAGAACCTCCACGTGCGGTAGCGGGCGTGCGTGGGCTCAGCCCTCGCTCTGTCTCCGCTGACTGAAGCCCAGCCCAGAATGGGGAGGGCACAGGGAGCAGAGCCAGGGCACGAGGTATCTTTGGTGGGGGGGGGGGGTCACCGTTCCAACCACCGCAGGGTCCTAGCTGCAGATCTCTCTCCACATCTGGCCAGCTGCTTGATCTCAGCCCAGGGACCCTGACCCTGACCCCAGTGGACGCCTCCAGCCCCAGCCTTCCTGAGTTTGGCAAAGGCCTCCTTGCATGGCATGCTCGACCCAGGAGTCCAGGAGTGGTGGTGACCCTCGCCTCACTCGGACCTTGCAGGCCCGCCCGTCCAGGTCCATCGCCCTGCTGACCATAGCACGCGGCAGCCGTCCCCTCCCCGACCTGTCCAGCCACGTCCACGACGGAGACCGTCCAGCACAGTCGCTCACCGGCACCCGAGGGGTTAAAACCAAGAAAGGATGCAATGATTCTACCTTTTCTACCTAAAAAATTGTATAAATTCTTATTTGTAGAGAAACGGGGAAACACATGAGTATTAAAAGAAAATAAAAATCCATCCACGTTTCCATATCAGAAGATATTTGGATAAATTTAGTGTATTTCCTTCACACCCTTTAGAACATACCCATGTGTACGATGAGGGCTGGGTTCCACGTGAACGTCTGCACTGTTTGTGAGAGCAGGTCAGCAGCCTGTTCTGGGCGATCGGCAATTCCTGGGCTGCACACGTGCTCACGGGGCCCCCACTGGATGGACTCCCAGGGACCCGGGCTGTCACAGTGCCCACCGCGCCCCGCCTGGGGGGCTGCTTCTCGTCGTCTGTGAGCTGAGATGGCAGAGGCTTCACGTCCGCCTTAATTCGACAGAAGAGAAGCAGGATTTGGTTGAGGGCTCATCTTCACGTCTCCTGACGACCAGAGGAGTAGAATAATCTTGCCAACGTGGTCCCCGGCCACTCGCACCGGCCCGTCTTGTCAGTTCATCTGCTCAGGTCTTGTATTTCTTACTGATCCGAACAAGACCGCATGTATAATCTCAGCTGCGCCCATGTGCACAGGCCAGGGAGAGTCCTGGGCACGTTAACTGTAGGCCTGTCTCCCAGCTTGGTCCACCCTTAGCTTTCATTCATGGTGCATCACACACATGGAGGTTTTCGTCTGCGGGGAGTAAGCACGGCTGATGTTCCATTAGGATGCCCTCACGGCTTGAAGCAATGCAGTCACTACATACGTTCTAGTGATTTCTTACAGTCACAGGTGCTTGCCCCTGTAGGTTCCCCATCCTTGTGGGGGGGGGTCTCCACTTCCCTCCACGCACCCTGGCCTCTGGCGCTTCCTGCCCCTGGTGGGTGGGTGGGGAGGGCTGGATACAGGCCCCTGTCTGCGCTGGCCAGTTCCCCCAGTCAGGCCAGCCTAGAGACAGAACCCCTGAGCCCAGTGGGTCTGGAGGAACACAGAGGCCCGTCCAGCTAACTTCCGAGCCCTGGATGTCTGCTGCTTTCTCCTGCCAGGCCCAGGCTAAGTGGGGAGGGAGGTAGGCCCAGAGCTGCCCGGAGAGGGTGGGCTGTCACCGGACCCCCCAGGCCAGAGCTCAGACACTCTCTGAGGCCTTTGTTGTCAGACCCTGGGCCTAGCTGCCCCCGGCACCTGCCTGGCTGTCAGGAACGGACAGGCAGCCTGATGTCCACAGTGGCTGTGCTCGGATGGGACCCAAGTCCCGACCCAGCCAACAGCCGAGTGCTGGCTGCCAGCTCGTCGCCAGGCCTCGTGACCAGAGAAGAGGCCTGGAAGTCTGGTTTGCAGCCCAGAAAAGTAGTCAGAATGGCCAGGACAAGCTCCAGCAGAGCCACACAGGCTTTGGAGAAGCCAGCAGAGCCCTTCTGGCCCCAGAGAAGCGTTTCCAGCTGGGGAAGCACACGGCCGAGGCCCACCTCGGGCCTCACAGGGGTCCCCGCTCAGGGCCCTGTGCTGGTCCTCACAGCTCACTGGAAAGCCAGCGCTGGGCTGGTCCCTGCAGGTGGCAGGACGTTTCCGTGCTGGGAAGCGACCCACTGGTCTCTGGCACCCTTCCGCAGGGAGCGTCTTCTCAAGACAATCGGCCAGACCCCCCGGGGACACCCAGGAAGCAGCCCCTGCTCTCCTTCAGGCTTCCCCCTCCCCCCCCGACCCTCGCCTGGGATCCTGAGCCCCAGGATGACCAATGAGAAGTGAGTCATGTCTCATCCACGTGGCCCTTACATCCCACCTGCTCAGGGACACGCGGGACCAGTGACCAGGACCCCGGGCCTGGCGGGACCATGACAGCCACCTGGCCGGATGCTTGGGCTGTGTCATGCGGGCCCTGCTGGATCCCTGTCTCTGGAGAGGGCATCCAACCCGGGGTCCCCTCCCCATCCGTGCACCTGAGGGTCCTTGTGGCCACGTCCTCCCCCTCTCTGGTGAAGGCTCCCGTGTAGGGGTTTCCCTGCTCCACTGGCCCCAGGATTCTCCCAGACCTGCCTGCCCCCCTGGACAGTCACTAAGCAGCCCTGCGACTCCAACCCCGAGCTGAGCTTGACCAAGAAACTCAACGTGGGCCCCGGCTCCTTGGAGGGCCCTGAGCTTTGCCAGAGCTGGCCTCCCAGAGGGCACCTGCTCGCCCTGGTTATACATTTCTTACGGGTCAGATCTGTCACTGCACTGGGGGTCTCCCCAAACCCCCGTGGGTTCCTTCAGGGCTGGGGTCACCTCCTTCCCCTCTGAACTGGGCAGTGACACCCGCTCTGAGTCCCTGTCCTGCTGACCATGGCTTGGTATGCAACATTGCCCAGACACCCTTTGACCACATGGCTTTAGGACCTTCTACCCCAGTGGGAACAGAGGCCCAGGGAGGCAAAGCGGCCGGTCCCAGGTGACTGTCAAGGCTCCAACACCCCGCTTTTGCTGCCAGGGAGCTGTCCTCAACTCTGCTCTCCCCACCAGAGGGGCTTTCTGGG